ACTACTACTACTACTACTACTACTACTACTACTACTACTACTACTACCACCCAGTTACAGTACTAACTCAATTGGATGTGTATGAGAATAGGGGGCCTCCAGCCGAACCCACAAGTAAAAGGGAAAACTGTAAATTTAAACAGTACTTAGGCAAAAAACCATTGGTTGGGGGCGTCTCCTCACTTACCCTTCGTTGACGCAACGCTCGAATCCTCCCAGAGGCACCTTGTACTGTCTGTGGTTGGCAAAGAGTGAGTGAAACTGATTCCTGTCGTCGTGGGATGCGCACGGACGCAGAAAAGAAAAGCGCCGCCCAATGCGCCAGTTCTAGCGCCAGAAAGCAGCGGTTCGGGGTACTTGAGGGTCGCCACCATCAACAGTCTTGTGCTGTGAAGCTGAAATGGATGTCATCGGGGCTCTTTGAGCAACTATCGACAATGGAATGCGATCAATATGTTTAGTATATAGTCTTTTGCTTGATCCATCGTCATCGATAGTCTCGCCGTCCAACTTGAGATCATTTTGCCATCCAAATCAACTCTCACATCACAGCGTCCGTAGACAAAAGGGGCACATCTTCTTCACAAAAGAAGGACGTGGCGAGTCTGGTCGCTTCTGCGGAAGGTAGCCCAGTTATGCCCAGTATTGCCCAGTTGTATTTGGAGTGGAGCGTTCGGTTCGGGGAAGGCAGACGAGAAGAGTTTATGAACCAACCTGATCAAACCAGGAAAAGGTCAATTAAGGTAGTACAGTACACCTTGACTCTTGGCAAGCCGTATTCCAAAATGCTTTGTAGGAGGAACTTGCCAAAATATTTGGGATGTGGAGGGAGGAGTTCTGAGTCACAGTCATGACATATTTCCATGAAAAACATGTACCAACATGTCCTTACCATGCATAAATCCATGAAAGACACGTCCCAAAGAGAGACATGTATAGGTGAGGATTTTTTCTGCGGGATGTGTCCCCCTCGCTTCTCGGTGCCTTGGACCATCCATGTCCCATGAGTCATGACACGCTCCCTGCGAAGAAGGCCCCGCTCACCGCTTTTGGGGGGCGGAATGGGCCTGTCAAGAGGACAAGAAGTCAAGGTCGTTGTGTGAAGGCACAAGTAGAAGTACACCTGGCAGCTGGCACAAGTTATCAGAACGTCTCGAAGCCATTTCGCCCCGAGATCTGTCACCCCCGTCCCGTTTGCCACATTCCCCCAAGAAATGTCCGAGAACACCACGAGAACCGGACCTCGGCACTTTTGAACCTGAACCCTTGGAACCTCTTGAGGCTCTTGGCGCACTTGTCGCTCGAAGTTGGAGGCGTTGGTGCTTTGGCGGGTCCGAGATTTGCTCTGGGATGCTTCGCTCCGGTTATCACTCACCGAGCCAGGAGCCCCTAGTAGCGTCCTTGCTCCGTTCGTAGCTTCACTCCGGTTGTCACCCTAAGCTCACCGGCCTGCTTCAGGTTGTACAATTCCTCACGCGAGCAGATCACACCAAACGATCATGGTATCCGACTTGGAGCCACCTTGAACATAGCCCAAGCCACAGAAAAATGAAAGGAGTAGGCGCTACTGATCAAGGTATGGAGAAGAGTTGCAAAATATAGCCATTTATCCATATAGCTCGCCAGTTTTTGCAGAAAATATCCGCGAGGCTCTGCCAGGCTCTGCCCCAGAACTTCCGACTAAAAGCTGGGGACTTGGTCTGAGTCGAAACTGCAAATCTCTTTCAGCCATGTTTTGCATCTTGGCATCATCTAGGAGTTGTCCAACCGTTGTCTGCGTTTCTTGCAAGAAAAATATGGGATTCCAGTCATTCAGCCGATTTGACGTCGCCTCAGTTTTTGTTGGACGGAAACAAGTTGTAGAATTATAAACGAAACTCGGGGTCTGCTCAAGGCAAGTGGACAGTCTTCTTTTACATCAAGTGATTTTGCTTGTGATTCCTTCTTGGTCTTGTCTTGGGTTCTCTGGACTTGCAGATCTCCGGCATGATACAGGTGCATGATGTCACCTAGCAGTCTCTTGAGGCAAAGGTAAAGGTGGGCTTGCTTGCGAGCAGACTCCGGTTTCATCGCTGAATCACCCTGAGTGAATCTGTGCAAGCGTGAGACATGTTTCGATGATATACCAATCATAATGAAACAATTGTTGTATCTAGAGTTTTACAACTCACACTTGAGTGATTTTTGTTGCTTTAGATGCACTGCGTTCTCCCGCGGCTCCCGCGCGGGCGACAGGAACAGGTCCTTTTGGCTGAAAGCGCCTTGAGCCGCCGCCTGTCTGAATGTTCTGCCACCCATGGGATTCGGGAAGGTCACCCGTTCCACGCACTCAGAAAGATCATGTCCCATGTCCATGTGTTTACAAGTGGCAGCTGCTAGCGCTTACGCCAAGGACCCAGAAACTTCCCCAAAGATCGCGGCCAGCGACCTTCGCCGTTTGTTTCGCCGCCCAGAAAACGTAGGTACCTCAACCACTCCCCTCAACATCAGGTGAAGCTCCAACATGAACCGTACCTGCGGAGGCCCTGGCCCTGGCCCGTGCCGTTCGTTGGTCGGTGGCCAATTCGTCCCTCGCGGATGGGAGAGCGATCCCAGGCCTGTCCAGCCAATGATTGATTGACCCCCATGGCCACCTGCAAAAGGCCAGCAGTGGAGGGAGTTGAAGAAAAAAACTCTTGGAGGCAAGCACAAGGGCCAAAAAGCGCATGGTGTTTGAGTCTGTTTGAGGCTTTGGGGTTTATAAGGACGGTTTTTTCATTATTAGTTGCTCTGCCGAGGGGATATGGTGAGCAATTGAAGTGGTCAGATCTTGGTGCGCGGTGAGGTTGGGGAAGGCCGGGTGTTGCTGCAAAGGTTCTTCTCGCTGCCTATTCCCTAGAAGTCCAAAGACTGTATGTATCTATTATGATTCTATATGTACTACTTTTCCTTAGTAAAGTACAGTAAGTTCCCTTTCAGGCCCCCGGGAAGTCGGAAGACTATTTTTGTTTGCTGTCTTTGACTCTTTTGGTCATCACTACTTGCAGCACAGCCAGGCCCAGTGTCTGCCAGTTCCTTGCAGTGTCCACGATCCAGAGTACGCCCTTTCGACACCTGTTGGCGCACCATGATCCATTTCGTCAGGAGCTGATTTATCACTTCACGTGGTACGTGAATCCCTTCTTGAGCGGAGGAACCACCAGACATCCGGACAGATCCTCCTGAGCACTGGACCTCCGCCAGAGTCGTTGCGCCACGCTGGACCCAAAAACGAAAACGCTGGCGACAGGGGTTGAAA